AATTACCTCTACTTCATTCGTCTGAAACCTTTTCCTTTGTCTCCTCCACTTTTCTTTTTCTCACTCTTTCACTCCATTTGCAGTATTGTGTGTTGATTTAGTTCATGGAGTTCATCTTTGTTTTCATTGACATACCCCTGATCCAGCTCTCGTCTCTTCTCCTTCTATATAAATAGTATCCTTGAGTTTCATTATTTCCAAAGCTCTTTCACAGTGTTATACCTACTTATTGTATTTGCTTAATATTCTCATTCAGTTTCTCTTTATTGTGATTTTGTTACATCTGGAAATTCTGTACACGACTATTACATATCCATCCATCCAGGAAGAGATGTTTGTCCATTAATGCTCTTTCTAGGATTTTCCATTTTTGTTCCCCATATGCTATATAAATTAATTAAACACTTTTTTGAGAATTATGCAGAGACTTGTACTATGTATGTGTGATTTAACTAAACATAAAACCTTGTTCATACTTTAAAGAACTACTTTTATTTAATCTATGCATCCAAAGAATCATTATCAGAATAGCTTATTCGAGGTATATCAATTCCTCATCATGTAACATATTAAATACATTAATTGCTGAGCTTACAAAAGACAAACAAATTCAATTAGTTTAAGTTAAATTCTTGACTATTCATGGAGGTGGATCTTGCACATGCAGTTGGAATGTTGAAAGCCCCTGAAGCTGTGAAGCTCATCTGATAACCCAAACATGTCTCTCCTGAATGTTGGCAAACCTGATTCAGTGTCAGTGACAGAAGAGGATGATTAAAAGATGGGGCAACAGGGTGATACCTTAAATTCTTATTCTATTACCTTTAAGATGTTAAGATATTAAGAGTGTCACTAGTTCATTTACATATGTTTCCATTGTCAACTGACCTTTTTCTCAGTGCCCAATATTCTTTCTTTCATTCTAATTCGTTCAGTAAATTACTCGTTCTTGCTTTCAGACTCATCTATTCTGAGAAACTTTGTCTTGTCTCCACCTTTCTCTTCGTCACTCTGTCACTCTGATTGCAGGATTGGATTGTATTTTGTATATATGACACCTATTCTAGGTCTGTGCTTCCAGGAAGAGATACTTGTCTGTTAAGAGAAAGACCACTTCTCAATTTAAAAGAAATTAAGCTTGTCCCAGTGTTGTAAATGAAGCAGCTGTTTAGTTTTTCATAGTTTTAATTAAAAAATGCTTAAAGAAAGAATGCTTCCTCTTCTGGTCCCTTAATTTAAGAGAAAGTCAGTTTTATTATGCTGTTTGAAGAAATTGTGTCTTATTGTAAGATTGTTTTGCTAATTATAAACCAGCATTAACTTTTTCAGCAGTTTGAGCTACAGTAGCTCGTCTGTTGGATCGGACAACAAGGGCCAGCCTTCATTCCCCATGACTCTGATGCCAGTTCACTGCTTTTCCTTCCTTGGACTACTTTTAATAGATACTGACCACTGCATACCGGGAACACCCCACAAGAGTTGTAGTTTTGGAGATGCTCTGACCCAGTCGTCTAATCATAGAAAATTTGGCCCTTGTGAAAATCGCTCAGATTCTCACGCTTGTCATTTATTCTGCTTCTAACACATCATCTTTGAGGACAAAATGTTCACTTGCTGCCAAATATATCCCACCCACTGACAGGTGCCATGATAACAAGATAATCAGTGGTATTCACTTCGCCTGTCATTGGTCATAATTTTATGGCTGATCATTGTATATATACAGTATAACATATATATATATATTAAATATCTGAAGTAACACTACTTCATATATTTGACTACATATTTGAAACATGGCTATACAAGTTTTTTTTTTTTTTTTTTTAGAAAATGCCCTCATCATTTTGCTTAATTGCTTAAAATAATGCTTGATACCATTGCTCAAAGGGATAGCAAGTTTAAGAAAGTGAGCACATTTTCACCAAATATTGGATCAATGTTTAATATAATCTTATGATCTGAGAAAAGATGCTGTAACCTGACCGTAAAGAGGCCTATACTTGTTAATAACAAAAGAATGACTGAAACTCAAACAGATCCTCGTTGATGGGCTTGAGCAGCAGACTAAAGAAGTGTCATATCACATTTACAAACTGCATTTCTCTTTTACAGTAAAATCCAATCCTAATAATTTTTCTAGTAACCGGTAGATTTGTATAGGATGCATTTTATTGTTTGGACACACTCAGTGTGCGAACTATACTGCGGCTTTCTGGGGGGCTCACTTACATTGGGGAGGGGGCGCGCTTGCTCGTGCCTCAGAGCGAGGACTTACTCAAAACACATCCATTATTACAAGCCTGTACGCCTACTTGCCTTATGTCAGCACATATAAGCACATATCACATTCATCTTTGACATGATGACTGCAGAACATGGCAGTAAATACAATTCAGCACAGAAATTGAGCGGGTCCAGCGGCCCCAGTGCAAATGGTCCAGAGCGGGTCTTTTTTTCGTTTCCGATGTCTGATTTAAAGTGACGTTTAAGACATAGCGTCCCCATGCTTCAGTGGTGAGGACAAGAATTGCATGCAGGCCGGTATCTTTATTAAAGTTAAATAGTGATGCGTAATGCGCAAATCATACATTAAAAATAGCCTAATTTTACACATGATCCATGATTATGACAATACAAAAAAACAAAAAGGAAATGCATGGGAAAAAACAGCATTGTGCCAATATTTTAGAGGCCCCCCAAATTTTCACAAATCATGTTTTCAGGGGAACTCATGTCTCATTAAGGGGGGCTGAGACCCCCCTGGCTCCCCCGTAGTTCGCACCCTGGGAACACTATGGGGCTGTGTATACGAATATGGTTTTCTCGGTTCCGGATAAATATTTTATCGTATCGGCCTCGCGTCCAGACGGAAACGCCGGATCGCCCGGAGTCGTCAGGACGGCGAAACAGATTTTTTACGAAACAATGATGTATTAGCCCTGCCTCTCTAGCCTTTAACCTCAGCTGCCGCCGCTAGTCACATCGTAACGACAACAACAATGGCGGACTACTACTACTTGTTTGTAAACAGTGCATGCTCCATGTCTTCTTTTCCGGTTTTAGTGTATTGGTGTGGCGGCGTCTCAGTGCCACATACAGGCCTGGCATATGTACTACAGCGTTTTGGGTCGTTGTCAGTGAATCCGTGTGGACGCAGATATTTCTGGAAACGACGCTGTGTTTACGACATCGTATTGTGTGAGGCCGCGTATTCGTGAGGACAGGCCCTATGATTCCAGCAATGCAAAGAAGAGGTTTTTATAGGAACAAAATAAAAAGGCTACACTGCATAACTTGTTTAGTTTGTATATTACTGTAACTATTATGATATAGTATAACACACAATATTGAATATACAACGATTTTATCAAACATTGTCCTCTTCTTGGTGTGTGCATCCTGTTAAATGGCTCAGGGAGAAATTTGCTTGCTATTTGCTGGCAGAGGTTTGACAATGTAGTTGAACCTGCTCACTGTCAGTGGTGTACATAACTCCCTTATGGCAGGAACACAACATCCCATTATAGATGCTTGGAAGTCCCCATGCTAACGGGAAATTCAAGTATTTTTCCTCCTCTGCGCAATCAAATCACACAAAGCACTGCCTTTCCTACTTGTAAATGAATGTCTTTAAATCACAAATATTGCACATGTATGTAGGTAATTTTTCTGCAGTGATAGAAAACAAGCCTATGTTTATTATTTGAAAGCATAAGTGAGATAAATCATCTGGACAGTATGTACTTTCCACCACAATCTCATAGTCTCATAGTGTGTATGTGACAAAGAGATGACAAAAACTAAATAAAGTACCACATTGTGCCAAGCTGGATCAGGCCTATTTCCCCATCAAGAACTGTTTTGAGAAGTCTGCCTTCTACTTCACCTCTTCAGAATCAAAAGGCCAAAATGCAGCAAAAAGTTCTGCCAATATTATTGTTCTGCCGGTTGAATATGAATTGTCTTCCCATCATAGCATTTTTGTTCCACTGATGTTAGCCCCCCACTCATGTCTCCTGATCTTTTTTCAATTTTCAGTGCATCTAAGCCAAACATTGGCGTATGAAAAGGGATTTTCAAAAAACTGAACATAGAATACAGTTCTAAAAACCAACACCAAACAATATGGCTATTTCGTTACAATGTCGGAGGCAGAGTGACTCTGTGTTTTTTCCACAGAATTTCAAAGTAAATTTAGTTTAGTTATTTTACTCTAACTTCTTAATTTCCCTTCTTCTAATATGTGTGCTGGTGGTCATTTTAAAATTGTTGCTCCATTAATAAGAAAAGCAGTACAATAATAATGTACGATTGTAGACAGTACATTTTTTCCAGATATAAGTTCAGTGGTAAGTGTAATGCTACTTTAGTTTGCACTTGGGTTCTATAGAGTCTTAGGCTGTGGGTCATGCAGGTCTCAAGCTTGATACAGTTGTCTATCCAAATAACTAGACAGAAAATTACCTGTTCAGTGGTAAGCCTGTCAACTTTGTAAATAACTGCTTACTCACGTTGTTATCCTTTTATCATCTTTTACGTCATGGCAGGTATGACGGTGCGTCAAAATCATATATTTACTCTGAAATCTGTGTCTAAAATTAGATGTGTTTATGTAAGCCCTATTGTCTACTTTTGCAATGTTTTGAATACTATGTTCGTGTGTGTCTGCGTGGGTGTGTGTGATTCAGTATCAAAGGGATAATAGTCCTGTCCATAGATTATAGGTAGGATTTTAAATACTTAAATGTTGAAACTACTACATAAATGAAAGCACAGTATGTGTAAAAGAGTGATATTAAATGTTTAATAGTTGATTATGAGGCTGAACATGATGCAGCTGCACATTGGGTTTTGTACATTGTGACACCTTATGCATGTTTGAAATAGCAAGAATGGTTTCATTACTCACACTGCATTGTATACACCCCCCCCCTTGTCTCTTGAGCCCAGTGAATCCTTTTTACATGGAAATGATGCACAGAAGAACAAGTCCTGCAGGTTATGTCAGACACTTTAAAAAACAAGACTTTATCAACTCACTCACAGAAACTTCATTCACTTCCATTTCTTGACTCAAGACTGTCAGGTGTCTGGTACCTTCAGCCATTCTTTGAAAACTTGTTGTGAATATACTGCAGTTGGACTTGGGACTGCACTAGGGTAAGGAAACACATTTTTATGTTGGCATGGCTATATACAACTTAACATTTAAAATATCCACTTTAAGAAATTGCCAATGTCTACTTTACGTGCGCTAACTGACTTTCAAAAAGTCTGTCAATAAGACACAGATTTTGCTTTTTTATTTTCCAATGTTTATATAAAAATTATGCATAAATAGAATTGAACTGGTGGTTTTCTGTACCACATTACTTTCAAATTGTATTCAATTTTCTCATTGCTTTTCCTGTGATATGTGTGCTGCTTTTAAAGTCGCACATTTTTAGACTCGCACTTTTCAAGTCTTTTCTTAGACACACCTTTGATTTACAATGTGCCATTATAGCGCATCTTGTTAAATGACATTAGAAAAACAAACAAAGCATTAATAAAAAGCAATGCATATTATTACAGCAGTTAAACAACTGATGATTACAATTATTGGCATGTCAGGGTGTGTCAGCTGGATATAATAAATAAACTGAGTAAAGGTTCTTGTGGTGTAGACTATCTAAGAATGTTAATGAATTGAACACTTGTAAAGGTAATTGCTTTGACAATTCTATACAGATATTTATTACAGGAAAATATAAAGATGGCTTCTAATTGGGGTAGAGAGGCACAGAAATTTATTGTGTTACAAGTTACTTACAAACATACAGTACAAATTCAATTTATCACAAGCATCTCAAACTGAAAGGTTGATACATGCACAGACTTAGACACTTAGATACTGCATCAGGAGGTTTGGGCAGGATGTGAACTACAGGGGAGATGGGGTGGTTGGGGTCCTCTTAATAAGACATGAGCTACCCTGATACCATGATTTTTCCATTTTTGGCAGTGTCTAAAATATTGACAATATGCTATCTTTGCCATGCATTTCTATTTTTCTATCATCATAGATTATGTATAAAATTAGGCTATTACTGCTTCATACACAAGGGTGATTCATCACTAATTCACTTTAATAGATACCGCATACATGCTATTCCTGATGTCCACACCATAAAAAAAAAAGATAGCTCTCCCAGAAAGCCATGGTATAGTTCACAAACTGGGTTTAGGGAGTCGAAAAGGATTAGTTTGAATTGATTTTTCTGTCTGATATCACTGACCATATATCTGTATTATTATTCGATGATAATAAAATGTTCAAGACCTGAAGTATCAGAGTCCTGATCCTAATCCGAGTCATGACAAAATAATTATCTCTTAGTTATTAAAATAAGTTTTGTCTAGGTCAGTATTTGTATCGTCATTCTCTACAGAGCAGATCATCAATGTGTGTGGTATCACAAATCAGGTGTTTGCAGACCTTTTTATGATTTAGGCCTATAAACTATAGTACTGAATATCTGTTCATACAGGCTTAGCTGCTGACAACGTATGCCTTTTAAGAGTTGTCTGTGAAAGCAACATTAACTGCTATTTTCAATGGAATCTAGCTTTGACAAGCCAGTCAAATAATTATTATCAGAAAATCGTTTAAATTTAATTAATTCTATTATGTAGTACTTAAATTTGGAATTTATATGTTTTTTTGTCTGTTTTTTTATTTACAAAATTCCTGAATAGTCTGGTAGGCGGAGAATACAATCTGGAATCTTGACTAGTCTCAGAGGTGTGACACTACCCTGTCAGATATGACAAAGTTACCCAAACTTGTCTCTCCAGAATGCTGGCAGGGCCTGTTCTGCATGTTTCACAAGACATTGTGTGTCTTAAGATTGTGTTAAATCGTTTTTAAGCATCTACTAAATTATGCGTTTATCAGTGATCACTGCCACACAGTGAGAGTGGTAAACTACAGCAACCAGAGTCATTTGAGTAGCTATATTATACACTAGTCTATTAATACAACTAGCTTAAACTAATCAGACTAACACATGAACCCTACCTTTATATATGTAATCTTCAGTACCCTCATTGAAATAAAAAGTGTGGTCAAAATGTTAGAAATACCTCTCTGTATAATGTAATGCAATTAAACAGCACTACAACCTCAAAACTGATCAGTATGTTAATGAAGACCTCTCTAAAAAGTTTCAACATAGCCTGAACATTATAAACTTCACAAGGTAGGATTTATTGCAGGGGGATTTTGTTAGACTACATTCATCTATGTGTACATAATATACTGACAACTGAGTGTGTATTAGAATGACTTGAGTGTGTATTAGTTCTGCATACTATAATGTATTTGACATGTTTTTATATTGAGCTCTTATTTCACAGGAACCAGACGCAAGGAGGATGGAACCCTTCATATTCATTCTCCTCTTAGGAGGTATTTCTTAGACTGCATGCTTGTGTGTGTGTGTGTGTGTGTGTGTGTGTGTGTGTGTGTGTGTGTATGATACAGAGAAAAAGAGCGAGAGAGAGCGAGAGTGAGAGAAATGTTTTCTTAATGGACAGTTTTCTTAATTAATTGTGTGTTGTTTTTAGAAATGTATTCTTTCTCAATTATATTTTTATATTATTGTTAATAATTGTTTTGAACATTTCTGCCATTAAAAGCACATTAACTAAAAACTGAAATGAAGGGCTAAAGTGGGGAAGATGAAGGAAGACTAATTTATAATACAAAAAAGTAAACTGAATTCAGACTGATCATTGTGACATTCTCCCCTACAGGAATTGTGGGAACAACGTCAGCTAATGAGACAACAGGTAACACTATAATACGACTGTATAGTTTATTTCAAGACTACAGCAACAAATTGATAAAACAGATTCGGAAATATGTAGAAAAATCTGTAAATGTGTACATAGATCTGAAAATATGTGGACAAATCTGTAAATGGCTGAGAAGTCTAAGTATTTCCTCCAAGAGCTATAAATACAGACAATTCATCAGTTACTCAGACAGGACTCTCAATTGGCTGTATATGAAGGGGATAATGACCTTTGAGGTGACTACCATTCAATGTAACCTCACCACCAGTAAACATGACTTTACCACCAAAATAATCTAAATAATATATATTTATACCATATAACTTACTTAAACTTTTTTTCACTTGTGTTCTACCATTCAGCTAATGCAACTTCCTCACCAGCAAACATGACGTCACCACAGGCCAACACAACCTCACCACCAGCTAACATGACCTCGCCACCACTCAACACAACCTCACCGCCAGTCAACATGACATCACCTGCCAACATAACGTCACCACCAAGCAACGCAACCTCACCACCAGTAAATGCAACATCATCTCCAGTTAACATGACCTCACAACCAAACAACGCAACTTTGCCTACACTCAACGCAACTTCATCACCAGTCAACATGACATCATCACCTGCCAACATGACCTCATCACCACTCAATGCAACATCGCCTACACTCAACGCAACTTCATCACCAGTCAACATGACCTCAGCACCAGTCAACATGACTTCACCACCAGCAAACATGACCTCACCACCAGTCAACATGACCTCACCACCAGTAAATGCAACGTCACCACCAGTCAACATGACTTCACCACCAGCCAATGCAACCTCACCACCAGTCATCACAACTTCTTTGCCAGGTAAAACAACCTCTCCCACAATCAATACATCATTTATGTAGGGAAGTTGGGCTGATGCCTGCGATGTCTCTGCTGCAGGTGAATACAGACACGTGAGCTTTAGTGTACTTGGGCTCTCAACCCTAATAACACACATTCAGATGATTCACGAATAACACAGCCATTGCTACCCAAACCAAAATCTCAATGCAGTGCAATATGAAACGCCAGCTAGCGACTTGTCAACAGCTAACCACTAACCACAATTTACTGTATTTTAGCTTAATACATTTCAAGTACAATTTGTTATTGCAGCTTGTCTTGCTCTGATGTCATGATTTTTACTAATAAATATTGAATTATTTTCTAGGTAATGTAAGCTCTTCACCTGTAAATGGAACATCAGTGCCACCAACAGTCACAGCTATTGTTCCTCCAGCTACAACAGGAGCTGCTCCACCATCAGAGCCAAAACTTAAGTTGGGATTTAAGTTGCAGCAGAATTTTACCCAACAACTTACAAACAAATCCTCATCAGAGTTCAAGGAGTTAAAAGACACAGTAACCACAGCGGTAAGTTGATACATATTGTATTGCTTTGTTTTTGTCTTCTTTATGATCAGATTCCAAATAATTATGAAAAGTTTAGATTAAATAACTTCACAATCCACTTTACTTTAGAAAGTTTTATCAAGGTTCTCAAATTAGATGAAAGACATCCATTATTGTAGTGGGAATAAATTGTTAGGACACTACAGTAGGTAATAGTATACAACAATTATACAAATACAGTGCTAAAATACCTTTCATTCAAAAAATTAACTAATATAATTCAGAACAGTGCTTGTACGTGTAGTCCATGGTATTATATTTTCAAAACTCAAGCTTTAGATGGAGGCAAGACATGGACACACCTGAATATTTAAACATTTTCATGTGACTTACATGAACACGAGATAGAAAAAGGAGTATAGACAAAAGATTGAATAATTGTGGTATAGTATGAAATTTGTTGCCTCGTTTGTATTTTTGAAATGTTATAATTTTTTGAAATACAATTCATTTACAGCTCAATGCTGTCTATTCACAAAGATATGGATCTAACTTCAATCGAACTGTAATCAACGGCTTCAGGTATAAAACACTGCTCCTTATTACATCTGAAAAAGTTATTCATATTTGTTTGCTAATGCATTGATTTGTTTTGGTTATTAATGAAAACAAAGAGGAATGCTATACTCTGTTTTATATTGTTTTTTATTTTTATGTATATATTTTACTTTTTCATTTATTTAATCATAAAAATATATGTCGACCTTCTCATGGAGCCTTTGTTAAACAACAATGGCCACAATGGTCAAATAGGATTAGAACATGAAAAACTGACATCTTAAAAATACTTCTGTTACAGTCAAGGATCCGTTGTGGTGGATGCTGAGCTGATATTCAACAATGTGACTACACTACCAAATGCCAGTTCTACAGCTGAAACTTTGGAGACTGCTGTTTCCAGCTCTAATATTTCTCTGCCTATCAACACATCCTCTATTACTGCAGCTGGTAAGGCATTACATCATTACAAAATGTAAAATTTTGCAAATACTTATTGAACATATGATAACAAAAATATAATTAAAGGACAAAAGAACAAAACAAATTGGTGTTTGTTATTTCAGTTGTGTTGGCACCAACTGAATCCCCAACCACAGATGCACCGTCAACGATGATTACAACTCCCTCACCAGGTATTATCATGACACAGCCAGGAAATGAAATTTTAATTCTGTTCAGTTTAACCAATAAGATAATGTCACTTAATTTTAATTAGACACAAATACAATGCAATTATCACAATTGAGCTTAACTTGTTGTCATGACAATAAAATTGTAATAAGTTCCTAATCATCACTTCCAGTTGGTGGATTAAGAGGACTCAGACATATTCTGCCTTGAAAAAAATGGTTGTTATTAACATTGAGCAATTATGAGGAGAAATTTTTTAATTAACTTAATCCAAACAATTGCACCACCAGTAAACGTAACCTCATCACCACTCAATGCAACTTCATCACAAGTCAACATGACCTCACCACCACTGAACGCCACCTCACCACCAGCAAACATGACCTCACCACCACTCAACGCCACCTCTCCACCAATCGACATGACCTCACCACCACTCAACGGCACCTCTCCACCAATCAACATGACCTCACCACCACTAAACACCAGCTCATCACCAGCAAATATGACCTCACCACCACTCAACACAACCTCACAACCAGTCAACATGACTTCACCACCAGTAAATGCAACCTCACCACCAGCCAACATGACCTCACCACCACTCAACGCTACCTCTCCACCAATCAACATGACGTCACCACCACATAACGCCACCTCACCACCAGCCAACATGACTTCACCACCAATAAATGCAACCTCACCACCAGCCAACATGACTTCACCACCAATAAATGCAACCTCACCACCAGTCAACATGACTTCACCACCAGTAAATGCAACCTCACCACCAATCAACATGACCTCACCACCACTAAACACCAGCTCACCACCAGCCAACATGACTTCACCACCAGTAAATGCAACCTCACCACCAGCAAACATGACCTCACCACCACTCAATACAACCTCACCACCAGTCAACATGACTTCACCACCAGTAAATGCAACCTCACCACCAATCAACATGACTTCACCACCAATAAATGCAACCTCACCACCAGCCAACATGACTTCACCACCAGTAAATGCAACCTCACAACCAGTCAACCTGACTTCACCACCAGTAAATGCAACCTCACCACCAGTCAACATGACTTCACCACCAATAAATGCAACCTCTCCACCAGTCAACATGACTTCACCACCAGTAAATGCAACCTCACCACCAGCCAACATGACTTCACCACCAGTAAATGCAACCTCACAACCAGTCAACATGACTTCACCACCAGCCAATGCAACCTCACCACCAATTATCACAACTTCTTTGCCAGGTAAAGCAACCTCTCCCACAATCAATACATCATTCATGTAGGGGAGTTGGGCTGATGCCTGCGATGTCTCTGCTGCAGGTGTTTACAGACACGTGAGCTTTAGTTTACTTGGGCTCTCAACCCTAATAACACACATTCAGATGATTCACGAATAACACAGCCATTGCTACCCAAACCAAAATCTCAATGCAGTGAAATCTGCAAACACCAGCTAGCAACTTGTCAACAGCTAACCACTATCCACAATTAACTGTATTTTAGCTTGATACATTTCAAGTGCAATTTGTCAATGCAGCTTGTCTTGCTCTCGTGTATTTTTTTTTTACTAATAAATATTGAATTCTTTTCTAGGTAATGTAAGCTCTTCACCTGTAAATGGAACATCAGTGCCACCAACAGTCACAGCTATTGTTCCTCCAGCTACAACAGGAGCTGCTCCACCATCAGAGCCAAAACTTAAGTTGGGATTTAAGTTGCAGCAGAATTTTACCCAGCAACTTACAAACAAATCCTCATCAGAGTTCAAGGAGTTAAAAGACACAGTAACCACAGCGGTAAGTTGATACATATTGTATTGCTTTGTTTTTGTCTTCTTTATGATCAGATTCCAAATAATTATGAAAAGTTTAGATTATATAACTTCACAATCCACTTTACTTTAGAAAGTTTTGTCAAGATTCTCAAATTAGATGAAAGACATCCATTATTGTAGTGGGAATAAATTGTTAGGACACTGCAGTAGGTAATAGTATACAACAATTATACAAATACAGTGCTAAAATACCTTTCATTCAAAAAATTAACTAATATAATTCAGAACAGTGCTTGTACGTGTAGTCCATGGTATTATATTTTCAAAACTCAAGCTTTAGATGGAGGCAAGACATGGACACACCTGAATATTTAAACATTTTCATGTGACTTACATGAACACGAGATAGAAAAAGGAGTATAGACAAAAGATTGAATAATTGTGGTATAGTATGAAATTTGTTGCCTCGTTTGTATTTTTGAAATGTTATAATTTTTTGAAATACAATTCATTTACAGCTCAATGCTGTCTATTCACAAAGATATGGATCTAACTTCAATCGAACTGTAATCAACGGCTTCAGGTATAAAACACTGCTCCTTATTACATCTGAAAAAGTTATTCATATTTGTTTGCTAATGCATTGATTTGTTTTGGTTATTAATGAAAACAAAGAGGAATGCTATACTCTGTTTTATATTGTTTTTTATTTTTATGTATATATTTTACTTTTTCATTTATTTAATCATAAAAATATATGTCGACCTTCTCATGGAGCCTTTGTTAAACAACAATGGCCACAATGGTCAAATAGGATTAGAACATGAAAAACTGACATCTTAAAAATACTTCTGTTACAGTCAAGGATCCGTTGTGGTGGATGCTGAGCTGATATTCAACAATGTGACTACACTACCAAATGCCAGTTCTACAGCTGAAACTTTGGAGACTGCTGTTTCCAGCTCTAATATTTCTCTGCCTATCAACACATCCTCTATTACTGCAGCTGGTAAGGCATTACATCATTACAAAATGTAAAATTTTGCAAATACTTATTGAACATATGATAACAAAAATATAATTAAAGGACAAAAGAACAAAACAAATTGGTGTTTGTTATTTCAGTTGTGTTGGCACCAACTGAATCCCCAACCACAGATGCACCGTCAACGATGATTACAACTCCCTCACCAGGTATTATCATGACACAGCCAGGAAATGAAATTTTAATTCTGTTCAGTTTAACCAATAAGATAATGTCACTTAATTTTAATTAGACACAAATACAATGCAATTATCACAATTGAGCTTAACTTGTTGTCATGACAATAAAATTGTAATAAGTTCCTAATCATCACTTCCAGTTGGTGGATTAAGAGGACTCAGACATATTCTGCCTTGAAAAAAATGGTTGTTATTAACATTGAGCAATTATGAGGAGAAATTATTTAATTAACTTAATCCAAACAATTGCACCACCAGTAAACGCAACCTCATCACCACTCAATGCAACTTCATCACAAGTCAACATGACCTCACCACCACTCAATGCAACTTCATCACCAGTCAACATGACCTCACCACCACTGAACGCCACCTCACCACCAGCAAACATGACCTCACCATCACTCAACACCACCTCTCCACCAATCAACATGACTTCACCACCACTAAACACCAGCTCACCACCAGCAAATATGACCTCACCACCAGTCAACACAACCTCACAACCAGTCAACATGACTTCACCACCAGTAAATGCAACCTCACCACCAGCCAACATGACCTCACCACCACTCAACGCCACCTCTCCACCAATCAACATGACTTCACCACCACTTAACGCCACCTCACCACCAGCCAACATGACTTCACCACCAATAAATGCAACCTCACCACCAGCAAACATGACCTCACCACCACTCAACACAACCTCACCACCAGTCAACATGACTTCACCACCAGTAAATGCAACCTCACCACCAGCCAACATGACCTCACCACCACTCAACGCTACCTCTCCACCAATCAACATGACGTCACCACCACTTAACGCCACCTCACCACCAGCAAACATGACCTCACCACCACTTAACGCCACCTCACCACCAGTCAACATGACTTCAACACCTGTAAATGCAACCTCACCACCAGCAAACATGACCTCACCACCACTCAACACAACCTCACCACCAGTCAACATGACTTCACCACCAGTAAATGCAACCTCACCACCAGCCAACATGACCTCACCACCACTCAACGCCACCTCTCCACCAATCAACATGACTTCACCACCAGTAAATGCAACCTCACCACCAGTCAACATGACTTCACCACCAGTAAATGCAACCTCACCACCAAGCAACATGACTTCACCACCAGTAAATGCAACCTCACAACCAGTCAACATGACTTCACCACCAGTAAATGCAACCTCACCACCAGTTAACATGACTTCACCAACAGCCAATGCAACCTCACCACCAATTATCACAACTTCTTTGCCAGGTAAAGCAACCTCTCCCACAATCAATACATCATTTATGTAGGGGAGTTGGGTTGATGCCTGCGATGTCTCTGCTGCAGGTGATTACAGACACGTGAGCTTTAGTTTACTTGGGCTCTCAACCCTAATAACACAGATGATTCACGAATAACACAGCCATTGCTACCCAAACCAAAATCTCAATGCAGTGAAATCTGCAAACACCAGCTAGCAACTTGTCAACAGCTAACCACTATCCACAATTTACTGTATTTTAGCTTGATACATTTCAAGTGCAATTTGTCAATGCAGCTTGTCTTACTCTCGTGTATTTTTTTTTTACTAATAAATATTGAATTCATTTCTAGTTAATGTAAGCTCTTCACCTGTAAATGGAACATCAGTGCCACCAACAGTCGCAACCATTGTTCCTCCAGCTACAACAGGAGCTGCTCCACCATCAGAGCCAAAAATTAAGTTGGGATTTAAGTTGCAGCAAAATTTTACCCAGCAACTTACAAACAAATCCTCATCAGAGTTCAAGGAGTTAAAAGACACAGTAACCACAGCGGTAAGTTTATACATATTGTATTGATTTGTTTTGGGCATTTTTCCATGATCAGATTCCAAATAATTATGAAGAGTTTAGATTATATAACTTCACAATCCGCCTCATTTGTATTTTTGAAATGTTATAATTTTTTTAAATACAATTCATTTACAGCTCAACGCTGTCTATTCACAAAGATATGGATCTAACTTCAATCGAACTGTAATCAACGGCTTCAGGTATAAAACACTGCTCCCTATTACATTTGAAAAAGTTATTCATATTTGTTTGCTAATGTATTGATTGTTTTGGTAATTAATGGAAACAAAGAGGAATGCTATACTCTGTTTTATATTGTTTTTTATTTTTATGTATATATTTTACTTTTTCACTTTTTTATTCATAAAAAATATATGTCGACCTTCTCATAGAGCCTTTGTTAAACAAGAATGGCCACAACGGTCAAATAAGATTAGAACATGAAAAACTGACATCTCAAAAATACTTCTGTTACAGTCAAGGATCCGTTGTGGTAGATGCTGAGCTGATATTCAACAATGTGACTACACTACCAAATGCTAGTTCTACAGCTGAAACTTTGGAGACTGCTGTTTCCAGCTCTAATATTTCTCTCCCTGTTGACCAATCCTCTATTACTGCAGCTGGTAAGGCATTATTTCATTACAAAATGTAAAATTTTGCAAATACTTATTGAACATATGATAACAAAAATATAATTAAAGGACAAAAGAACAAAACAAATTGGTGTTTGTTATTTCAGTTGTGTTGGCACCAACTGAATCCCCAACCACAGATGCACCGTCAACGATGATTACAACTCCCTCACCAGGTATTATCATGACACAGCCAGGAAATGAAATTTTAATTCTGTTCAGTTTAAGCAATAAGATAATGTCACTTAATTTTAATTAGACACAAATACAATGCAATTATCACAATTGAGCTTAACTTGTTGTCATGACAATAAAATTGTAATAAGTTCCTAATCATCGCTTCCAGTTGGTGGATTAAGAGGACTCAGACATATTCTGCCTTGAAAAAAATGGTTGTTATTAACATTGAGCAATTATGAGGAGAAATTATTTAATTAACTTAATCCAAACAATTGCACCACCAGTAAACGCAACCTCATCACCACTCAATGCAACTTCATCACAAGTCAACATGACCTCACCACCACTCAATGCAACTTCATCACCAGTCAACATGACCTCACCACCACTGAACGCCACCTCACCACCAGCAAACATGACCTCACCACCACTCAACACCACCTCTCCACCAATCAACATGACTTCACCACCACTAAACACCAGCTCACCACCAGCAAATATGACCTCACCACCACTCAACACAACCTCACAACCAGTCAACATGACTTCACCACCAGTAAATGCAACCTCACCACCAGCCAACATGACCTCACCACCACTCAACGCCACCTCTCCACCAATCAACATGACTTCACCACCACTTAACGCCACCTCACCACCAGCAAACATGACCTCACCACCACTTAACGCCACCTCACCACCAGTCAACATGACTTCACCACCAGTAAATGCAACCTCACCACCAGCAAACATGACCTCACCACCACTCAACACAACCTCACCACCAGTCAACATGACTTCACCACCAGTAAATGCAACCTCACCACCAGTCAACATGACCTCACCACCACTCAACACAACCTCACCACCAGTCAACATGACTTCACCACCAGTAAATGCCACCTCACCACCAGCCAACATGACTTCACCACCAATAAATGCGACCTCACCACCAGCAAACATGACCTCACCACCACTCAACACAACCTCACCACCAGTCAACATGACTTCACCACCAGTAAATGCAACCTCACCACCAGTCAATATGACTTCACCACCAGCAAACATGACTTCACCACCAATAAATGCAACCTCTCCACCAATCAACATGACTTCACCACCAGTAAATGCAACCTCACCACCAGCCAACATGACTTCACCACCAGTAAATGCAACCTCACCACCAGTCAACATGACTTCACCACCAGTAAATGCAACCTCACCACCAGCCAACATGACTTCACCACCAGTAAATGCAACCTCACAACCAGTCAACATGACTTCACCACCAGTAAATGCAACCTCACCACCAGTTAACATGACTTCACCAACAGCCAATGCAACCTCACCACCAATTATCACAACTTCTTTGCCAGGTAAAGCAACCTCTCCCACAATCAATACATCATTTATGTAGGGGAGTTGGGCTGATGCCTGCGATGTCTGTGCTGCAGGTGATTACAGACACGTGAGCTTTAGTTTACTTGGGCTCTCAACCCTAATAACACAGATGATTCACGAATAACACAGCCATTGCTACCCAAACCAAAATCTCAATGCAGTGAAATCTGCAAACACCAGCTAGCAACTTGTCAACAGCTAACCACTATCCACAATTTACTGTATTTTAGCTTGATACATTTCAAGTGTAATTTGTCAATGCAGCTTGTCTTGCTCTCATGTAATTTTTTTTACTAATAAATATTGAATTCATTTCTAGTTAATGTAAGCTCTTCACCTGTAAATGGAACATCAGTGCCACCAACAGTCGCAACCATTGTTCCTCCAGCTACAACAGGAGCTGCTCCACCATCAGAGCCAAAAATTAAGTTGGGATTTAAGTTGCAGCAAAATTTTACCCAACAACTTACAAACAAATCCTCATCAGAGTTCAAGGAGTTAAAAGACACAGTAACCACAGCGGTAAGTTTATACATATTGGTTTGATTTGTTTTGGGCATTTTTCCATGATCAGATTCCAAATAATTATGAAGAGTTTAGATTATATAACTTCACAATCCGCCTCATTTGTATTTTTGAAATGTTATAATTTTTTTAAATACAATTCATTTACAGCTCAACGCTGTCTATTCACAAAGATATGGATCTAACTTCAATCGAACTGTAATCAACGGCTTCAGGTATAAAACACTGCTCCCTATTACATTTGAAAAAGTTATTCATATTTGTTTGCTAATGTATTGATTGTTTTGGTAATTAATGGAAACAAAGAGGAATATATAAACTATAAACTATACTCTGTTTTATATTATTTTTTATTTTTATGTATATATTTTACTTTTTCATTTTTTTATTCATAAAAAATATATGTCGACCTTCTCATGGAGCCTTTGTTAAACAAGAATGGCCACAACGGTCAAATAAGATTAGAACATGAAAAACTGACATCTCAAAAATACTTCTGTTACAGTCAAGGATCCGTTGTGGTAGATGCTGAGCTGATATTCAACAATGTGACTACACTACCAAATGCCAGTTCTACAGCTGAAACTTTGGAGACTGCTGTTTCCAGCTCTAATATTTCTCTGCCTATCAACACATCCTCTATTACTGCAACTGGTAAAACATTATGTTATACCTAGATGGTGAATTTTGCAAATAATTATTGCAAGTACATACTGTATGATGACAAAAATATATTTAAAGACATTTTATTGTTGTTTTTTGCAGTTGTGTCGGCACCAACTGAATCTCCAGCCACAGTTGCACCTTCAACTCCACCACCAGGTACTATTATCAGTAAATAAAATTTGAATTCTGTTCTGGTCTGGTAAAATATATTCACGTAATCATTATTAGACACAAATACAATTATAATTATTATAATTATAATTATCACAATTTAGTGTAATTTGCTGTCATGATAGTGTAACTTCACCAAGTTCCAAAAGTGCCGAGTCATCACTTCCAGTTAATGAAATTAAGAGGACTCTGTTGTTATAGACATTGACCAGTTATTAGGGAAAACTATTTAATTAACTCAATCAAAACAATTGCACCACCAGTAACCGCAACCTCACCACCACTCAACGCAACTTCACCACCAGTCAACATTACTTCACCACCAGTCAACGTTACCTCACCACCAGTCAACATGACTTCACCACCACTCAACGCAACCTCACCACCAGTCATCAACATGACCTCACCACCACTTAATGCAACTTCACCACCAGCAAACATGACTTCACCACCACTCAATTCCACCTCACCACCAGTCAATGCAACCTCACCACCAGTCAATGTTACCTCACCACCACTCAACGCAACCTCACCACCAGTCAATGTTACTTCACCATCAGTCAACATGACTTCACCACCAGCCAACATGACTTCACCACCAGTCAACGCAACCTCACCACCAGTCAACGCAACCTCGCCACCACTCAATGCAACTTCACCACCAGCAAACATGACATCACCACCACTCAACGCAACCTCACCACCAGTCATCAACATGACCTCACCACCAGTCAATGCAACTTCACCACCAGTCAACTTAACTTCACCACCACTCAACGCAACCTCAGCACCAGTCAATATAACCTCACCACCAAGCAATGCAACCTCAGTCCAACCAGTCACCACCGTGTCACCACCAGGTAATGCACACACTCAATCTATCACTACCAGTTGATGCAGCACATATAATGTAACCTTGTACAATTTGTTACCATGATTTTTAATATACTTCTAGGTAATGCAACCTCCCCATCAGTAAATGGAACATCACCACAGCCAGTTATCACAACTGTTGCCCCATCAGCAGAATCAAGGATTATGTTGGGATTTAGGTTGCAGCAAAACTTTACACAACAACTTGAAAACAAATCCTCTCAAGAGTTCAAGGATTTAGCAAACAGTGTGAAATTAACAGTAAGTAAAGTTCTTGTAATACTCATGTAATTATAATATACTTTGTGAATTATTATATATTTGTTTCTATAATTATTCACCAGTCATTACATTTGTACAGGATTTTGTACAGGCCAAGTGAAGGTTTATATCACTGTATATACAACCCAAAGTCTAGTGGCTGTTAAATGGTTCATCCTTAACAGAGAACAGTTTCAAATTATTTTAGTTGCAATGGTAATAATAGCAGGCTATGTAGCCATTTTGGCAAATGGCTATATAATAGTGTTGTAATAACAATTCTCTTCCATCTGTCATCCTTATTTTTAGATATTACTTGTTGACTGACTGTTTGTCAATTTAATTTCTCCAGCTTGACAAGGTCTATAGCAACAGATATGGAAGCAGGTTCCTTCGAGCCATCATCAACTCTTTCAGGTATATGACATTACTCTCTTTATCTAATGTTTGAAAAAATATATAAAATATGTTTAATTAAAGCTGTATGAATGGCACTGTATTAATTGAAATCCAGTCAGCAAATTCAAGTATAGGATATCTTAATCTAAATATTTGAAACTATTGCTTTTTTTATGCCATGGGTGCATTCATTTGTTTTTCACGTTGTTAATACAACATTTTGTCATTATAAAATGTCTGCAGTGTATCAGCAATTGATATTCATGTGTCACAAACAACAGACAACAATTATTCTAACAACAATCATTTCTCTTACAGTCAAGGTTCAGTTGTGGTCGATTCTGAGCTGATATTTGCTAATGCCAGTTCACTGCCAGAAACTAGTACTGTGCAAAATGCTCTGGTGGAAGCAGCGCCCAACATCTCCCTTCCATTGAACACCTCAAGCATTGTTGCAGCAAGTAAGAGTTGTTTTACTTCTTTTGGCATTATTATGAAATACAGTGCATGGAGCTACATATATAACTGCTACAAAACCTCCTGCAAATGCTGCAATAATCTGAATTTTGTTATTACAGGAATTACTACATCAACTGCTGCTCCTGCTACAACTGCTGCAGCAACTGCTACAGCAACTGCTGCGCCAACTGCTACACCAACTGCTACAACTGCTGCTCCTGCTACAACTGCTGCAGCAACTGCTACAGCAACTGCTGCGCCAACTGCTACAGCAACTGCTACAACTGCTGCTCCTGCTACAACTGCTGCAGCAACTGCTACAGCAACTGCTGCGCCAACTGCTACAGCAACTGCTACAACTGCTGCGCCAACTGCTACAACTGCTGCAGCAACTGCTACAGCAACTGCTACAACTGCTGCGCCAACTGCTACAACTGCTGCAGCAACTGCTACAACTGCTGCACCAACTGCTGCGCCAACTGCTACAGCAACTGCTACAACTGCTGCACCAACTGCTGCGCCAACTGCTACAGCAACTGCTACAACTGCTGCACCAACTGCTACAACTGCTGCTACAACAGCTGCACCAACTGCTACAACAACTGCTTCCACTGCTGCACCAACTACTACAACCACCACTTCTTTAACAGATCCTCCTACATCCAGTGAGGGAACCCTTAACCTTCAGTTCAGCCTTGACCGAACATTTACACCGGCCCTCTCAGACTCATCCTCTACCGAGTTTCAAACTTTAGCTGCATTAGTGGTCACAGAGGTAAGCTGTCTATGCACTTTAACACTGTGCTTCTAACAACAAAACGTATACTGTAATAAATTAAGATTTTACTTTGTAACAATAATATTCCATGGTCATCATAAGACAGTGAAGCATCTTCTAAACTCGACTGCCAAAGTCTTAGAAACTTTCTACGATATTCAGCAAATATTGCATTTTGCATATTGAAAACACTTTTGCATCATACACCGATCAGCCATAATATTATGACCACTGACAGGTGAAGTGAATAACAATTATTACCTCGTTATAATGGCACCTGTCAGTGGGTGGGATATATTAGACAGCAGGTGAACATTTTGTCCTCAAAATTGATGTGTTAGAAGAAGTGTAAGGATTTGAGCGACTTTGACAAAGGCCAAATTGTGATGGCTAGATGACACCTACCAGGGTGCCCAGGTGGTCATAATGTTATAGCTGATCAGTGTATATGTAGAATAATCATTCCGTCTTTCTCCATAATTTTCATTGGGAAACAACAAAAGCCAGTATTATTCTTGGAATATTCCATCCAAACAGAACAAAACACACTAATCTCACAGCAGAGGGAAACACACAATATCATTTTAGAGAAATTATCAACAGATACAGTAAACCTGTAGTAAAATTCTGCAAGAGCTTTGTCATAATTCACAGTGATTACTGCACCATATTGTAAGCTGTTTCTTTTTCTGTTCTTACTGGCTGCAAGTTAGCAATGCCCCCAAATTGAGGTTTAGCCCAGATCCCAGTGGGACTCACTGTTCATTATCTTCAAACTTGATAAATGCTCCTGCCTTGCATTGCAATCAGGCAACCTGTGGTAAGCTGTTCATTGGTGCTTGCAGCCATTTGTTGTATATTTACAGACAAGTTGTCTTTCAGATAAACAAAGCGGGTGCAAGGCTGTATGGATCAGATTTCCTTCGCTCCATCATAAACTCATTCACGTAAGACTAACTTTCAATCACTGGCAAACTTTTGCTAGACATTATCCATTCAATTTGCTTTTTAAAAGTGCTTTCTCTCTTTCTCGCTGTAGGAGTGGATCAGTGGTTGTCCAGTCAACCCTTGTGTACAAGGATAAAAACTCAGTTCCTTCAGCAAGCAGTGCAACTTCAGGATTCAGCAGCCAACTTGCCAACTCTACCTCCTTGAACGTTATTTCAGGCAGCGTTACTGCACGTAAGTTAATAGAGACTCAAAAGTCAAACTTTTTTTTGTTAAATATGAAAGTAGATTTGAGCCCTCAAGGTTGGGATGAAGCTTCATTGTAAGCCTGTATTTTGAACTTGTAAAGTTACTTTTAGTTTATAGAATTTTACTGAATAATACCTCTGCTTTCCTAATATTTCAGAGTCCACATCAAGCAGCTCTCCAATACACACAACGGGCTCATTAGCAGTCTTTTCACTGACACTGCTGACTGTGGCACAGATGCTGATACACTTATAGACACCCAACACAACGACTTGGCCAGTAACTTTTACTATGCTATCTAAGTGTGGAAAGAGGAAGGTACCAGCAAATGAAAAACACTGTGCATTATGAAATTTACCTGTACAATGTCATGTGGTAAAAAGATATGTACTGTGTGTCAAAAATTTAGACAATTTCTCAGTATTTTTAACTTGTAATGTTACAATCACTTGTGTTTTTTGATTTAATTTTATTTAAAGAACGAATCATTAAGATTATAATATAGTGTTCTGTACTTTTGGGGCATTTTTTTTCCATTCAATGTATTTCTTTTTTAAATTCTTTTTTATATGCCATTTTTCGTGTGGCATCATTAACATTTTAAAAATGCAAATACATACATGAAAGGATAATTTACTAAATATTTATTTAAAATTAAAAGCTTTGTACGATTCAGCAGGACAGAATGTACATCAATGCCATTGTTCAGTGCGAATGAAGGAAGAATTGTGTAGTTAAAGTAGCATAGTGCCAAAAGCTTAGGATATGGAGGTAACATGATCTTGATGCTGGAGACCAATGATTCGTTATACGTCTGAGACCAACCATTAATGTTGGAGTTTTTTTTTTTTTCATATATTCAACCATGAAGACGATCTCTCCCTAAACATAATCATGTGGTTTCAGGTGCCTTACCTAAACAACACCACAGTTGCCATGTTAGAATACTGTAGGAGAAAATATTGAATCGTCCAGTTTTCAGTGAATAGTGTGGCAAGTGGACCTCTGAATGCTAGTCAAAAAGTGTCCAGCTATCATAAAATGTTTTTAATAGAATATCGATTGTACCTGTATGTTATTGAGAAGGGGAATAATGAAAATTTGAATCGTTGTTATTCAACTAAGTATTAAATGTTACCTTTAAAATGACTCTTGTTTTTTCAAATTATTGTTTTTGTCTCTCTATTTTAAATAGATTTTTTTAAAAACATATTTTCCCCTTTTATATTAATAGGTCAAGGATATGGTATCAGTTATATGGGTACTGAGTAGAACTGAACCATTTCAAACATTCTCTGTATTTGACAGCAAGGTTCATGATCATTGCCAATATTTAAAGTTGATTTCAGGGGAATGTAAGGGAACACTTAATAATGCAGGAATTAAAGTACCAGGAGAAAAACCTGGCCTTTTGTCTACCAAGAACATTGTAAAGAAGCACATTCTGCTTTTTGATGTGAAATTCTATCTTACCTTGAACATCAAAAAATGTAAATTGATATCCACATACATACCACCTTAAATCTTACACAACAAATGAACCTATAATTATAAAACTGTTGACTGACTGGCCTGTGACTGCATTATCAGGTGTGTAATCTTTGTAATGGTGACCACTTCCTGTGTATGAGATACAGAGAACAAGAACAAGTTTAATACATACTGACATGTCAAAACATGCAAGCTCTTAGAGACAGGGTTCAAAATTATAATTTTTACATGATTTATTTTATCCTCTGGTTAACATTTTATTCCAATGTGTTTCTTGTTCTCAACGGTTGTACTGTTACCTAACACTCAAAACAAACATCAATTCATGAGAGTAGGTCACCCAAATAATTTGGCAGTAAAGATGATTTGGATTCCAATCATCTGGCCAAGAGAGCTAAAGTATGAAAAAACAGCTAAGCCCCTTTTCACATTTTGCCCTCTGTTACTTGGGCCTTGTCTAGTGAAGTAGCAAACGCACACACTCCTCTTAAAGGGGTGAGCTTACAAAAGGCTTCACTTGGAAATATGCACCGGGGTGCCCAGGTGGTCATAATGTTATGGCTGATCTGTGTATAGTGGAATTTTCACATGCAGCTCAACAAAGTTTAGCAGTTATAGACATTTGCATGATATCTTGTTGTTAGTACAAACCTAATATGTATATTTAAAACTTAATATCTGTGCCAACATCAGGCAGGAACAAGAGGCTACACTGATCTTCTTGCACATGGTATGTTCATATAGTATTGTAGCGACCCTGCAGTAATGTTCTGTTATAATGTCAAATGTTCTCTGAGTTAATGACATGTTTGGGATTGAATGAGTAGGTAGGGCGGCGGGGTGCGAGTGTGACGGGGATGAGGGCTGTGCAAGTGCGCGTGTGTGTGTGTGTGTGTGTGTGAGTGAGCTTGAAGAGAACACTAAGGGCACAGTTGGAGTTACGGCCAAATGTATTTGTTTTGGTTGTTTTGGTTGTTTTGGTTGTTTTGGCGTGGTTACGGCCAACAGTAACCTGTACTGTTACAGCAATAAATGGTGGTTTGCTGAATAACACTTTCAACATGTCCTTGCGGACACTACAGTAACTTTCAGTGTTAGAAATTGTGTAAATTAGAGTCACACATGGGAGTGTGGTTTTATTTAACAAAAGACTTCTTAATGTCTTTAGTTTGTGCAAACACAATACTGCATAAATTAAATATCAGCAATGAATTTATAATCCAGTAAATGCTATTGACAGGGACTTGCCATACATGCAATAGCAATGACACACCAGGAGAGGGCTGCATTGCCTCAAGGATCATCCAAACTAGAGTGTGTACAGCTTCCATCTCTAAAATGTTTACAGTATTGTGTGCTGTGATAGTCAAGGTCACACAGTCCTAACATCACCCCTAGCCATAGCCATGACTTGATTTTGATTTTTAAAAAATAGCCAGAGAGAACAATTTGAAATGGAAAAAAAGGATTCAAGAAAAAGAACAATGGAGAGAACGGCAAAATAATTTATCTGAATTTGTTTGGTTAAGAGGAACCATGTCTGTGTGGGGTTTTTACACACACATACAAATCTGAAATAAAATCTAAAATGATTGTTTTGCAAAGGCATTTTATATATTCTCTTATATTTCTTATAGACAAAAAAACACAGACTCTAAATGACCATAAAAATTAGGAGTTCATTGATGAATATTACGGGACATATGTGCATTAAGTATGTAAAACATAAAAGGCTTTTTCCTTTAATTAACTGTTTTTTAAAAATCATCATAAACTGTATATGAAATATAGCTGAAGAATTTGAGTGTTTTGTTTCTTTATCTTTTCAAAATTTCTAACTTTTACTTAGACTACTTCATGACCAAAACACTTGGATGCAGAGTAGCCAATAGTATTCTGTACAGATTGTAAAGTAATTTTGTGATTTGGGGACATACAAATAAAATTAACTTTAATTGACAGAAGACTATAATTTCAAAACCAAGCCAGACAGATGGAGTCAGTGGTCCTTTTTGGATATGTCGCCTTTTCTTATCAGAGTAAGATAAAGTGCATTACTAAGACAATTTTCAAAAAACAAAGTATGAACTTTTGAAAAATCAGATGGAGATATAGTTTTCAAACAACTCTTAGCGTTAGAATGAACTTACACTACCTATAGCTAATAAGATCTGCTAGCTAGCTAGCCTTACCCCATTCTCAATTCAGCCGGAAGAAAAAATCCACCTTTGTCGACTGGAAATGCAAAGCTGCTTTTGTTTACTTCTGTGTGATTTAAAAACGCATTGTTTAAAATATTATTCTGCAAATTTCGAATGGTAAATAAGCCCGTTATCTTTATAAGCTGCTATTTGGATGGAAAGCAGCTGAAGCTAGCTCAAAAAGTTGCTATATGTCACTAACTTTGACATCATTACATTACTATTTACACAATATAAGCTTAAATTGTTCCTTATATGTATTTAAATCTGTATGTGCTGCTATTCTGCTACATTTTACTTGAATGTTTGTTCATTATCCTTAAAATAAAATAAAATGAAATTGATTTAAACTTTAATAAAGCAAACTTAAATAGTTAAATGAATCATTCAGAACAAAATTCGAGGTAAATGGACAAAAAATGGGAATGAGTTTTTGGTCATTAGGTATGCACATTCACAGCTCATTCATATTACTGGAGGTGCTGGAGGAAGTCACTAAATGGGTCTTAAAACTCGCCAAACAGAGAGAAATTCGCTATGTTGGCAACCAAGTGAATTGTCTTTCACAATACCATCATAATCCCTATTCCATAATTCCTTTAAAACTGAAACACATTTCTGAGGGACTTAATTCATTCCTGCGGGGACTTTTTAACGTTTCCGCTTTGTTTTAATTTAAATTAATGTAGTCTGACTAAATGCTTCGTATTGTATACACTATAATTGTATGATTTCCAGTGCATTCAAAACTTATTTTTTTCTGCTCATTTCAGCTAAGTTGAAAAAAGAAACACATTTTATTCACGCCACCTAATGTTGTTTCTTTTTTTTAAAACAAACAACAACAACAAAACAAGTCTTGTTTAAATTAATCAGAAAACTTGACATGCTCAAAAATTACCCAGACTTTAAAAAGTTATCTTAATGTTACCCTGTCTCCTAGAAATTATACTTATATAGCACTCATTTGCCAGGTACAAGTAATTGCCACCTGTATTATGTTTACTAGCAACCTCTCATTTTTTTCACGTCAATGAAATGAAATATGTATATCAAATATACTACAATGACAGATGTTTCCTCATTATGTTGGTGAAAACAGCAACGTTTCTCTTGAAATATTGTTGCTGTGTAAATTAGGAGTATATGAACATAAGAAGACAGGGTTGCAAATTCCAGAATAATGCAAATTTGAAGGATTACATCATAAGAAGAATAGTTGCATTAGTCAGTATTACACCATTGATAATGAAATGTGTAATAATATTAGATAGGTCACTTTATTTGCTCCCCAGTAAATGCAACAAAGCCCAGGAATCAACCTCTGTTCACTCATCTTTCGGAAACAAAAGAACAGATGTGCAGCCAGTCTACTCTGTCTGTAAAGCACACTTGCATTACACATATGAATGACTGGTCTGAAAAAAACACTAGTTATTGAGCCAATGTGCCTTTTATTGCACCCTTCATTAAAAATCCCCCCATGTTTAATTAGAACACATCCGCCACACTTGAGATACGTCTGTCACTGGCTGAGGCCCAAGGTATTCAAGCTTGGCAGGATTGGCTGTGCTCTACTGCACACTGAAACACATGAAAGGGATGATGAGAGCTGTTTTAGGAGCATGTAGAAAATAAAGTTACACCCATGTAAATGTAATGTCAGAGATCTATGCTTCCTTCATCATATGTACTGTAGAAATGTGTAGAAATTGTTGCTGTTGTTAAGTCTTCTCTTTTTCACTTGGTTTTATTTAGTGTCATTTTTTCCAGTTTATTTATGAACTTTATCATGTAATATAAGGCAAAACAAACAATACATGCTAGCATTATTTCCATGTAATTTCTGTCTGGGATTGACTCAACACTTGTGACCCACAACCAATGTGTACTACTACTACTCACCGTCTAAGTCAAAGTGTGCAGCTGTTTGTTCATGCCACTTTTGTTTTTTTTTCCACGTATGCCCACCATATTTTACATGTCAAAAAAACAAATCAACAAGTGTTTTTTTTTTTGGTTTTTTTACATGACAGTAATTCAGACAAACATTGACAGAAATCAGTGATTTCCTGTGTGCAGTGCAGACCCATAGTATATCCCTGTGGGTTTTGTTGTAGCTCATCCTGGTGTAGTGGAGCTCTGGAAAAGTAGAAAAATTATAGAAACTTAGCTTCACCTACTTCCAAAGTGCATGGAGAAGAGAAAAGGGATGCTCTGGCTGATGTAATGGAGTTCTGGAAGTTATAATTAATCCTGACGGGGTTATGAATGAAATCATGACATTCATTTAATTTCATTTTTTACTAACTGGTATGTGATGATTAAATGCAATAGTAGAATTACACAGTACATCACTTGACAGATGGTCAAGTGTTCATTTTTTCCAGCATTCTCTATTTCTGGCTTTTGTCATAAAAAATGTCTAACTAATATGTACAATTTGAATAACGCTAACATCACCATCCATATAAGGTACCTTCAACAGCAACTGGGGGCACCTGCCTAACATCGTCCATCCAGCTACCCACGTAGGCAACAGTCACAGAGTCACTACAACTTGCCTCTGCACTAATGGTGGCGCCAGTAGACTCAAATTTGTGTATACTCCGCATGAGCAATCCAGTTTATGGATTTATCAATACTCTTAATTACAGGGTTATGTTTTACATTGACTTAGTGTCAAATATAATTTACTGTCTTTTTAGTGTTGGGAAACAACATGATTTTTCAGGCACTGTACAAATGTAAACATTTCAAAGAGATGTACAGATACTGGTCTTCCCCACCTCAGGGAATTAGAAAATGTAAGTGTTCTGGTTGCTCTTTCTCATTTGAATTGATTTGGCAGGGGAGTTGGCAGCAGACTGTATTTTGTTACTGTGATTATTGTTGCATGTGTTCATTATAGCCCACTTCCCAGCCCTCCCGTCCCTCTCATCTCTGTGTAAAACCAAGGTTGACAGACCTGCAGTATGATACAGACATGAGGACAGCCGATCATCTCTCTGCTTTACAGGTGAGTGTCCTTGTTTACACAGTTTTATGATAGTACCTGATGTGAACTAGTGCAATAAACAAACAATTTTAAACTGAATTCAGCAGATATTCTAACATCTGTAAATAAGCTAATTTGAGTGACATAGTACCTGAGCTGTTCTTTGCATAATCAGACGGAAAGATGTAGATGTAGATGTGCTGAATTTGTGATTAAATGTGTCTAAGAGTTTAAATGTGGCTTTTCAGCATTGCAGTTAATACGTTTTATATTACATTTCAATGTGCATATAGGCATCATAATAATACTATTGTTTTCTGCTTTGAGTAATCGATGGCCGTTATCTTTGAACAAAATATCTTCATGTATTTATTATTATTAACAGGCATATAGGCATTTATGACAAACATAAACACAATTTATATATACACTGAATTACAGTTTTGTAAGTTGGACAGGAAGACATTACATTAGGCTTTAGCACAAATATTGCACAAATTATTGTCTATTGGCAGTGTAAATCACCAAATTAAGATTAAGAACATGACTTTGTGGTTAATAGCAGAGAAGAGGTATTATACAAATTAAAAGACTCTAATACAACTGTATGGTTCTTGCAGATACTAACATAAACAGATAGATTAAAGGATGAAAGGGAACAACAAAGTGTGCGGGTGGGGTGGGCAGTGGAGATGCCCTTTTTGGTGACTGCCAAAGTGCCCTTTACTCTGCCACTGCAAGGTAGAGGGCACTTTGGCACTCAGCACTTATGCATATCAATATTATATATATTTACTTATATTGGAAGCCATGATGATGTGTTTTGGTTTAACATAAAGCAAGGCATGGCAAGGCAGTTTATTTATAAAGCACGCTTCATACACAAAGGTAGTTTCAAGGTGCTATACAGTTCAGTTAGAAACAAGACAGCTCAAAGATAAAACAATCCAGTTTAAGATAAAACAACAAAATTCTGGGTTAAAACAGCACAGTTCAAAGATAAAAACATTCTTAAAAAAATAACTCAATTCAGAAATAAAACAACCCACTTAAAAATTATAAAAAGGATAATAAAAAGAGAGAAAATTAAAAAAAAGAATAAAAATAAATACTTGGATAAATCAATAAAATAGTAAAAAGCACAGTAATGATAACAAGTCTCCAAGCCAAATAAAAATCTATCTTCTCAACCAGCATCACTTTTCCGTGACCACTGCACGGTCCCTGTGGCGTTCATTAAAATCTGTTCCAAGTCAGCTGGAACATCTGCTCCCTGTTCACACCACTGGCACTGGAAATGTAATGTTATTCTGTTCATTACAGTCTTATGTGTTCTGTGGTGTGATATACTGTAATGTGCAATGCATGAATTCAGAGGACGTTAAGAAGTTTAATGAATGTAAATGATTATTCCCTGAGACAAAAACACTTACATTTTATCAAAATTAAATAAATTGCTAATATTCTTACAAAATTCCACTCATTTTTGTTATAAACGTAAATATCTCTATAGGAAAATGGGATATGGTTGACAAGTTCCACTCCAACAGACCTGATGACAGTTGATTCATTTGGAGACTGTATTGCCTCCTCAAGCTACCCAATGTATTATATTACACTTTGACAGTATTGTTTTGCCTTGGTTTAGAAAACACATGCAAAAAGTGACTATATATCATTCTCCTTATTATATCAAGATCCGTGTTGATGAAAAGAACATCTGGTTTTGCTCTCCACACCAAGCGAAGAGATGGCATTTTAGATACGGCAACTACACCAGAACAAGGGCTTTTCAGGCCCACAATCTCTTGTGATTTGTATGTCAAATGAAAAGTTTACAGTTAAGAGTTACTGAGAAGTTACCATGGAGCAGCAATTCAGTTTGAAACAAACAGAATTCTGGGTGGTTTGTCCACTTTTTCACTGTTAATGTACCATAGATGAGTGTAGGCAAACTGCCTCACTTACTGCAAAGCCCAAAGCACTCATTACTTAAAACTGTATCTCTGTGTTTTGACAGGTTTGATTAGAACATGGATAACAGCAGCTTGGGACTGCTCGGAGACGTTAACACATCTCTTAAGACTGAAATTCAATCCTGTACTACACTGAGGAACCAGGCATCTCGCATTTTCCTATATGCCTTCCTCTCTGTTGGTATCGTCTGCACAGTGGTGGGCAACTTTCTGGTCGTCCTGTCCATCACATACTTCAAGCAGTTGCAGTCACCCACGAACTCCTTCGTCATGTCCCTGGCAGTGGCCGACTGTCTTGTTGGCCTGTTAGTGATGCCTTATAGTATGATTCGGACCATAGAAGGATGCTGGTACTTTGGTGTCCTTTTTTGTCGGCTTCACTCTAGCCTAGATGTCATGCTCTGCACTGCCTCCATATTCCATCTCAGCTGCATTGCCTTTGACCGCTACTACGCTGTCTGCAACCCGCTACTTTACTCTTTAAAGATGTCCCGCAGTCGGGTGGCTCTCCTTATTGTTGTGTGTTGGGCTGTTCCCATGCTCATTTCATTCGGCCCCATAATGCTAGATCTCCATATTGCTGGTGTGGACGTCCTGCTTCCTGAAGATGTATGTGTGTTCTTGGTCAATCGTATTTATGCCGTCATGGCCTCCTTGGTAGCCTTTTACCTGCCGATGGCTATCATGCTGGTAGCCTACTGGAAGATTTTCAAAGCTGCCAAACGGCAGGCCAGGCAGATCAGCGCCATGGAAAGCCAAATGGCTGCTGGAGTGGGCAAAGACTCAAGCAAGAAACAAAGACACCGAAACACTATGAAGAGGGAAAGAAAGGCAGCAAAAACTTTGGGTATCATCATGGGTGTTTTCTTAATCTTCTGGATGCCCTTCTTTACAGTCAATATTGTGGACCCATTTATTGAATACAGCACAGAGGTGGTCGTCTGGGATATATTTTTGTGGCTGGGATATATCAACTCATCTCTAAATCCCTTCCTGTATGGTTTATTCAACCGTTCCTTCCGTAGGGCATTCCTCATGTTCATGGGCTGCAGGGTATGCCTGCCTGGATCTTCCCCTGGGATGGAGCTATCACACACTAGGAAAGAGGCAAATGAACGTGCAGATCAACCATAAAATAAAGATAATATCTGTATATTTTGCATAGGCATGCAAATATCAGATCAGTGAGTATTAATGACTTTGCTTTAGTGAATCAATGGCACTATTCAACAATTGCTCCAATTTTTTTGTCAACAGCATGGAAAAATAAGTTTGAATCAGTAATAATTATAATTATACTATAAAACATACTAGTGAGGTGGGACTACCATGAACCATAATTAATGTAATCACCTCTTTTCCTTCCATGCTCTGCGGCTGTGTGCTCTGTGGCACATTGTTTTTGATTTTGTGACAGAAAAAGAGTCTGGTTTGACTCTGCCACAGAGGCTTTTTCCACTATTAGCAGTTTTACGTAAATTAGCTTTTGATTATGTCCATGTCTTGCTCATGCAGTTTCCAAGTGTAGGAAATATTCAATGCAAATTCAACCAAACAGTGATAGTGAACTGCAGGAATAATTTGGCAAGATGGCAATCAACTTGACAGTCAAAGTGTATCCCTATATTATTTTTATGCCTAAAGCATAAAAATTACTCTATGTTGAAGTAAAATCCTTGAAATGATTACCACATGTGTATATAGCTGCAGTCAACTGCTGTATGTTCATTTTTAAAAAAATGTTTTTGGAAAATAATTTTCCACTAATAATAAGGGAAGCTTCAAATTGATCCAGGTGGATGGCAGAACAGATAGGGCCTAAAAATTGCTACAGCTTCAAATAATTTGTGTTCACAATCTACATATTAGTGAGGAAGAGGATCAAACTCAACTGCAGATAACAGTTTTTTATGGGAGAGAAGACAAGACCAGTGACCTAAGAAAACGCAGGAAAGGGTTAGAAGATATTGCAAGACATGAAGAGGCCACATCAAAGGGGTACGTGAAGCTTCACTAGGATGACACAATTGATATTTACATCTCAGGTAAAAATGTAATTGAGACCTATAATTCTGTTCTTTCTTATGACTTAAACTTTTGTTGTCACTTAACCTGGCTGTATCATCTAGCTGTATCACAGAGGTTGCTAATAACTAATGTTATACAGGTATGATAAGGGTTAAAGTGGATGATTTGTCATTTGTATTATTGATTGTTCTTATAATACACATCTCAGTGCCATTAGTAACGTAGTTTGTTTACGTTTGCAATTTATATAATTTTTTATCTCACGTGTGCTGGTTTCACTAGTAATACAATCACTTCCCTTTAGGTGCATTTTGCAAGTGAAAGAGGAGCAGTAATGGGTATAGATGTTTCTGTGATTCAAAATGACAGCTTATTTCAAGAAAATCAAAGGATAGCCACTTTTTATACCTTATCAAATATACATAAAAATCAACTTGATCTACCAAGATGACAAATTACCAATTATTATCAAAATGTGTCATTCCCTTTATACAAGGGTAAATCAACACCAGTAAAATACAGTGTACCACTGTAAACTGCATCTCTATAGATGTTTCAAATTATACTTCTGGGAAAACCCCCAAAACTAATGTAAAATCAGATATTTCAACAGCTGTTGGCCAGCTGCTGATTTGTAGCGGCCATGCTGTATGTTTGAAAAATGAGCAGTGTAGCAGCAGTTTTCTGCCTGTGTTGATATAGCCTTTTGCAGTTTGAAAACAACTCATGCACTAATAAACTAATGAATAGCTCAAAATATAAATATAAATACTTGGCCACCTGTACTCCTGCCAGGTTTAGCTGAAAGCATCATAATTTAAATGGCACCCATCCAAATCTGCTCCTTTAGATGGAAATAAACACGTTTTGGTTTATTACAAGATTATAATAAGCCTATCTTAGTGTTTAGGCTTGTCTTGTGAAGTACCTCTCAGGACTTAAAAGGGACACTGACTATTTCCCCACTTTATTTATTTCGGTTGTGTAATATTTTTTACAGCTTAAATCTTTGAGTAAGGTTATATAAGAGCACAATTAATATTAATGAGCCCAAAGCATTCTGCAAATTAGAAATAATTCATATTAAAATTCACCCTGTTTTACATTTATTTTATTATTTAATGTTATTTAATTGTTTGTGGTGTAACAATGACTCACACTATCTGCATGAATATTTAGTATGAAGTAACTTTATTAACTTTCAATACTTTTTTGTGTTATTAAATCAAAGATCAGACATAGGAATAGGACAAATAATTAGTACTTTGCAGCAAGATTATAATGTATCTTTCAGAGCAATCTGTACATAGGCGAGTAACACAAGTATTAGGTATAAAGCTTTCTCCTATAATTGTGATTGTTGTAATAAAGTACTGGTCAGTGTGTAACCATAAGGTAGGATTAATTTTCTAAACATGCTGGCTAGATGGAATTTTTGGGTATAAATGAGAATATAACATGAGGTTGTGTTTTGATTGTTCTTATGAAAGACAGACAGGACTGACTAAATTCAGGAGCCACAGCGTCCACTTCAGCCACACTAAAAATAGCAAAAAGCAATATTAGACCTCAAGCTGTGACAAAATGCCAGGTGGTGTATGATTGAATGCAGGTGTGTGAAGGTGGGCTCTCAGGGTGCTTTTATTTCATCATACGACATTGTACCTTAATTTTTCCATAACATCAAATAAAACAATTATTATGAATTTGAATAAGATATAAATCTTCAGCCTAGTTTGAAGTCTTTGTTGTGAAATGACAACAAATAACAGCTGAAATTACGAATCACTAATGTGTTTACACTATATGATACTTTTTAAAATGTAAATATTGTATACATTTGATGTTAAACATTTTTCAGGATATTTTAGGGGCTTTTTTGGAATAGGGTGCATGAGAAAAAGACCATTAATAGTATATTTCACACCTAATCACATACATTACTATTATCATTATTATTACTAATGCTGGGTGCTAATCTGGGATGCCTTGCAGTGCCCAATGAAATGTTAGTTCAAAAAAGAATTGCCTCTGCAACCATGCATCTAATGTGCCTTTCTATTTAAATTGTTTGGGAACTGTCCTTTCCCGTCATTGTCCTAATATTACACCTGCCATTTGATGTTTTTGATATAATCTTAAATCAACATTTTTTTGTTGTTGTTGTCTTTTTGTGTTGACACAACATACTTGCTTTATAATCCTACTCAGTAAGACATTCACTTGCCTGTTGTTTTAGTATCTAGTTTTGTCCAATTACTAAAAAAAATTTCATGGTGGAATGAGGCTAATAACAGGAAGGAATTGAGGTTTATTAGTCGTGATGGAGGTAGATTCTCTCTCTGTCTCTCTCTCTCATCCACTCTTTCTTTGTTCTTAAAATGTCATTCACTTCATTATTTTAGTTATTGCTTTATTTTTTGTGAGTCAACAGTGTGCATATGTGTTAAGTATTTCAGGCCTATCTTAGTTTTACTCGTCGGACAAGTTGCACAAAGGCTGACTAATTTGGTCTTAAATGCTGAAAAAGGTTGAATTTAAAGGCTAAAAAGGCAGCCAACATAACCCCAGGCTATCTTAGACAGAGTTTAGGTCTGTGTTTCCATGGTAACAGTCAATCACATTTACTGACAACTGACAAAAAGAAGAAAAACATGACTCAATTTGTGGTTTAACATTGCTGTAAAGTGAGCAGTAAGAGTGGAAAGAGTTTTTGGAACCCCTAGAAACTCACTGAAAATATATATTATTTTCTGCTATAGCCTCAATCTTTGTGTTACTTGTAATTTAATGATACAAGGCACAGAGATGCCCAGTACCCAGAGTGCATTGCAAATTAGTTTTAGTCAAGATAGTCAAACACCAGACAGCGTTCTGCAAATTATGAACTTAGATGTCAATCTGCACTTTATTACCTCCAATCCATAGTCTAAGTCTATCTTTGTTAAACTAGCACCAGTGCTGTCAGTACACAACTAGAATTAAGGCAGTGGCTGTCTCTTTGGTGTGCTCTTTTACTTTGTGAAACTGCAAACTGTGAACTGTGCAATCAACACATTGCAATATGATCCAGTGACTTTTCTCACTCCAGTTAGAAAATAGCTTTGATGAAGTATATTGCTGAGTGAGAATGAATGGAAAAATGCTTCAAAGGGCACTTGTTAAATACCACAACACAGGGCATTTGAACCATGACAACAAGCTACGTTTATTTTTTTATTTTCTGTATGTTTTCAATATATTTCTACCATTCATGTCTGTTTTTTTTTAGAATACATCCCATATACTGGACAGCAATTGGTGTTTTAATTTATGTCTTTAAGCTGATATGTTTTTGTCCAAATAATGATTCAGTCTTTTCTGGGGTCAAGTTAGGAACTGTTTTATGCTTGGTTTCATCTCTCTCTTTCTCTTCATAGAGATTTATTCTGCCATGTATTAGTTTTGGTCATTATTACAAGTGAAAAGAAGTACAAACTCAGCTGTTTGACTTTCCCCTCGGTCAAGACTGTGTGAACTAATGATGGAATGAGGCTAATAACAGGAAGCAATTGAGATTTATTAGTCTTGATAGAGTCCCTCTTTTTCGCTCTGTTTCTCATTGCCAGCAGCACCAGCCTTCTGTGAGTGTGTCTGTCATTTTCTTTGAATTCCTAAAATCTTAATTTGTATTTGTCAGCAGATTCTCACTACTCTGTTCACTTTTCTTAACACATGCAGATAATGCTTTATTTCAATCAATTTAATTGGTGTTTTGTCTAAAAACAAACCATTTTTGCTTCCCATTAGCATAAGCTTGTCATAAAGCCGACAACGCGAACAAACAAAACAATAGTGAAATCTGCTGAATGGGGCAGATTTTTTTTTAATTGTGAATCAAATTTCAAGGGTGCCTTGGCTCTACTTGTTTTCTTTCATTTTTATTTTGCTTTTCATCTTACATAAACA